ACACGCGGACGTCTGGTTCCGTCTTCACCTCGGCGTGCAGAGTGTGCGTGACTGTGCCGGTGCTGCTGAGTTTACACCCGCTGTGCGTAGTTCAAAGGAAAGCACGGAGGAGCAGAGGCGTTGGGCCTGTAATCCCTTACCGTGTGTTGTCATTTTTAACAGCGTTGATGATAAACTTTACAGCTCCTAACACTGGAATAGTTGGCTTCAGGCTCTTTCACGTGCGGGCTGTGAACCGCATCCATTACCACTGAAGCCTGGTTTGTGGCCGTTTCTTCCCTTGCTAGAAACTAGACTGAGGTTTTCTTTTTTATTAAGTTGTAACGTTAGAATTTACTCTCCCCCCCAGGAGAGGAAGAATTAATCCTGCTGTGCAATTTGCTTCGGTACTATTGCCTCAAAGTGACTCAGTTTAAACGCAGCGGTACAGTTTGTAGACGTTACCTGGGCGTTCCTCTGGCAGTTTATTTGTATCGGGAGCAGAGATGGAGCCGTGTGTGTCCGGGGAGGGTTCCTGAACCGGCAGCGAGCCTGCTCGCGTTGATAGCAGCAGCACGCAGCTCAAAGGCGGGGAGAAGTCCAAGCTGTTCTTACTGCCACGGCAAGAACAGACACCCGGGAGCGTCTGTAGGAGCTGAGGTCTCGGGGTGTTCTGAGTGGAGGGTCCTTTGACGGCTTTAGCAGTGGGCGTGCTGGTAACTGGAGAAGAGACAAAACGTAGACCCCCAACTGTTTAATCTACAGCTAATTTAGCTTTATTTATTTGTGCACTTCTGGCCCGACGTGCGCGTTCTCGGCAGAAACAGAACGTGTTTCTTTTGCACTGATGTACAGAGTTCATGATCTCAGCACTTCAGCACAGCGGACTGACTTTGCGTCAGCAGTGGTAGCCCTTGCTGTAGATAAAAAATTGTATGGTTTAGCGTAACGCCGAGTGTTATAAATCTATGCGTGGAAAAGGACATTCACTGCAACTACCAACTTGCTTGTAAAATGGATAGGGTGGGGAGGGGGAAGCAGTGGGAGATTCTTGCCTTATGAACACTGTGAATTCGCTAATTGATCAGCAACACCTGAAAAATGTAAAGCTTTTAATTAAAAACATTAAAAAAAAGTCTTTGACACTGTTGGCTTGCTTTCAATACGGAGTGGAGGAGGCTTTGAGAAGGACACAGGCACGTACTGCCAGAGAAGCCGTTACAAGAGGCAGGTCAAGGTCTGACCGCTTTGCTTTTTGACAGCCCTAAGCTCAAGGTCTGCAGTAACCGGGTGAGGGTTATCTTTGAAGAGGGTCCGGGCAAGGTTTCAGTCTGGGCTAGATGCAGTAACCAGCTCCATCTGTTTGTATTTACTCTGAAGGAACAAAGCAATGCGGCAGCTTTGTTTTCAGTTTTCGTCCACTTAACTCTACTTTCTGCACAGTCCTTCTTCCTCACATAGCAGTAACTGGAAAAAGGAGAAATATTTAAGTGATTCAATAATGTGATTCTTAAGTTCGTATTCACTTGCAGCTGTCATAAGAAGAGATTCCGCATCTGCCAGCGTCCCTTCCCCTCGAGTTCAGGTACAACTGCAAATCCTCCCACTACTGCCTTCCCCTCCCCATATGCACTGTAACTCCAGGAAAGCTGATATTCGGATTAAACAGACCAAAACAGAGTTATTCATTCCGTAGTTTTTCTGTAAATAAGTCTGAAAACACCCATATGTAAAAATACAGATCGCAAGACAGGCACACGTCATCTCCAGTAACAAAAGACCAAATCTGTTTCACATCCATCTGCCTTCTGACAAGGCATCGTAATACGCTGCCTTAAACCAGATGTGGTTTTACTAACCTCTTGGATTGTTCTGGTAAACTACTTGTAATGATTACATCTCACAGCCGCCTTCTATTAACTTCTGTAAAGTAACACCTTTCAGAGACACCAAGGACTTTGTCCTTCGTTGGAAAGAAAGTCGGCAATAAATTCTTACTTGAAACACCGTAAAAAATTGTTTTCTCTGAGTTTAAGGCTACTATCCATCAGTGACCGGCTGTTGAGGATGGGGTAGATGTGGCAATTCTGTGACTCTCTCTGCTATATATTTAGGGAGAGAAAGAGAGATGTAATCGCCCACAGTTATAGACAACTGTTGAAATTAAAGGGGGGGGGGGGGAAATCACTGTAGCTTTTTCTTCTTCAACATTCATTCAAGTCACATTTCAGCAGGCAGTACAACAGCCCCAGAGAAGATGCTTCTCACGTGATCCCAGGCTGCTGGTACCCACCCCCTCCGACAGGGCAAAGCTACTGCAGCTGGACCTCAAGGGCACCCCGTCAGGGGCAGTGAAATGGAAAAACAGAGCCCAAGGTCTAACGAGACCATTTATAACTAAAGGAGGATGTCCCGACAGAGACACCCATGAAACTCAGTGCTGTGAAAATACAGCAAGGCCTGGACGAGTAATACTGTCACGTAGCATAAAGCTCATCTCGGTGAGGCTACAGTCTACTGCAAGCCAAATCCTTCAGTGCCTTAAATCCATCAGTTCTGGCAGGCATAGGGTTGTAAAGGGAGTGCAGCTTTAGTCCTTAAAGACTGCCTAGAGGCTAGGATGCATTACTGCTTCTTTTGACATGTGTTTTAAGTCAGCGTTTGGTTTTTATTCACATCGCTTCAATAATTATAAAGCTGTAGGAATTAATACCGCCTGCCTATGTGCACATTACCTTCTCATCCCTAACGAGAGTCAGAAATTGCAAACTCCCAGTGATAGCACAGAACTTCAGCTGTCTTTTGAGAATCTTAAATATAACTGAGTTAAAAAGGCACCGAGTATCTGCATCTGGGCTTCGCAGCGTCAGTCTTCACCATTTGATGTTAAATCCAGTGCTTGTTTTCTCCACCGCGTGGTACTCTGTGTGCAAAGCTTTTGCAGCCTTTTCTGACTCCATGCCACCCAGCCACTGCTCATACAGTTCATTTACAGCCGGGGTCTCCTCTGGAATTTCAGTCTTGAGAGACTCATACAACCTCTCGACTTGCTGAAGCTGGTCCTTGCTGGATTCACCATCTGGTTTGATCTGACCACCTCCATTTAAACAGCCTATGTGCAACAAAGTGAGAAAACGTCACTGAGTTTAGGAAGCACTTCAGCTTTATCAGAAAAAAAAAAAACCAAACCAGCCCCAACTACAGTTAATTTACTCTGCACCTGCAAACAGTTACAGAAATGAAAACACCATTATAATCGTGGTTTACTCCCCAGTTACTTAAGAGCAGCAGGGCAGGCCGCAGCCCTAGAAGGGAGATGGTTGGCCTGGTGTGCCCCGCTGCTAATTCAGCCTGCAGCCACCTGCGGGAGAGGGCTGCCGAGGCAGGCCGGGACGCGCCAGGGAGACAGAGGTTAAGAAGGAGGCGGCAGCTCTGGCTCTCATCTTGTGCCTCCAGAAAAGGGGCCAGAACACAATCCAGGTGAGAGCAGCCTTGGGAGTCTCAACTGAAGGTAAAATAAACATCCCTGGGATACGTTCTGGGTTTGCTGTTGGGGTGGAGGTGCACTGTGAGTTGAGCTACGCAGCGTGTGGTTGCCCGAAGCAGCGTCCTGGTGCCGAGCAGCCTTCTGGGCTGGGAGTTCCTCAGACCCTCGGGGAGAAAGCAGTCGCCCAGAGTACCAAGAGGGGCAGCTCAGCATCACTTCAGGCTGGGCTCGAGCTGCCTGTGCTCTCTGCTAGCAGATTGAAAAAGAACCAGGAGGGAGAAAAAGGAGGACTTGCACAAAGTGGAAAAGGGAATAAAATAGGTAGAAGGATACTTTCTTCACCAGCCATAGCAAGCATTCTCTAAAAGCATAATGGTCAATTTTGTGTGATTTTAGAGGAAGAATCTCCTCATGTACCAAAGAGCTTAGAAAACCAGGAGGTCCTCCTTAAAAGCCCTAGTTGTGCAAATTTTGGGCAATGGGATTTAACTGTAATTACTTAAATCCTGAAGAATTACTAGTTTCTAGGTAGGAAAATACACACACAAACAACTTTGAAATTCTGATGCTGTGACTATCACAACTCAAGAGTTTGAAGGCTTTGCCACAATATTCAGGATGTGAGAAATTGCCTATTGTTCTTATATTTTAATTATAGTTTCGTATAGCTTCTTACAGCTACGGATTGTAACAGTGAAATCCCTGTGCAGTCTTACCTGATGGGCAGGCCATGACTTCAACGTAGTGATAGGGCAATTTCCCTCGTTTCAGCTTTTGCACTAAGTTTTGTATGTTTCGAAACCCATATGCCAAAGCAAACTGGAGCAGCACTGCTCCATCCTTCTCCAGTGTCACCTCCTGGAAGTCCTTGTTTCTGAGGAACAAGAGCAGAGAAAACGTCTTATCCAAATTAACTTCTATTTTAAACTTCAAAGAGCCCTGTGCTAGAACCAAGTTCTTTGTGAAATCTTATTCAAGAAAGCTGTCCTAGTTCTTTGCCACCCAAACAAAACAGATGAAGGAACCAGCTTACAGCTCCTTTTGCAGTCTTGCTTGAGGACCTGCCACCTGAACGGAGTTTGCTGAAGAACACCTGCGTTGAATAAATCCTTAAAAGCTAAGCAAATGGAGCCTAAACAAAAGTTTCATTGCAATAGGCCTTCTGAGTTGGCTTTGGCCAGCTTATACATTAGTGAGGCCACTGAGGAAACTCTTAAATTGTAGTGGGCCATAAAGCCAGGGAGCAAACCATTACTGAAGGCTTCCAGACTCCTAAGGTTTCCTAGCGGAAACACCCATTCCTGATGAAAGAGTAAGTAAATTGATTTTTATCAAGTATTTCATATTGAGACTCAGGGGTACTGTTTCTTCTGCTTCCTCGACCAGAGAATCCTAAATGTAAATATTGCTAATCAGGGATATAATTAATTACAAATGGTACATTAATATTATAACTGGGAAGCTAGAAGGAATCTCAGCCGAATGAGCCTCCATGCCCAAACTCAAGTGACTTGTTTTCTGTCTCACTGCAGCATAGTTAAAACAGAGCCCCGAAGCCCCAACACAAGACTACTTTCTGTTCTGTGCTAGCTAGACTAGGAACAAACCGACTTTATCGGTCTGACTGCAGGTGAGGAAGCTCAGATCCACGCGAGCTCTGTCTTCTAAGCTACTCTGAAAAATTGTCTGCAACTTGATACTGGGAAAATCCATCAGGCCAGAATAAAGTGTGTGGGTGGTGAAGGGGCTAGAAGTCTCCAAGGGAAAGGCTGTGTGGAGCGCTGGCTGATTTATTGCTCAGCAACTGTGGGAGTGAGAAGCCAATTCCCATGCCTTGAAGTAAAATGTTTAACATTGCAAAGAAAGTTTCAGCCCATCAGCAAGATAACAGCATGAACAGAATGCAATAAAAATAGAGCTTTCTGTAGGACTTTAAACTCCTTACTTTAAAGGTTTGTACTGAATTGTATCTACTTGAATTCCGAAGAGTTCCTTGGCTGCGTACTTGTATATGTGCTCCAAATAGCCACCAGAACCACCTCCAGAGTGGCTAGTGAGCTCCTCTTGTGCAGCACCACTAAACCTGGGGGAAAGGAAGAAAGAAGCAGTTTTAGGGGAATCTTTGATAAAACAGAACAGCCAGCACGAATGCAAAGGTCCAGGGGACTCAAAAGCAACAGAACAAGCCACAGATGAGCTCCCTTTGAGCTCCTAGCTTTTCCCTTTCTCCTGGGAACCAACTATTTATAGCTTCAGAGCCCAGCAGATTTAACCCTGTGCTGCCTAGCATCCTTTGGGTCAAGCTCAGTGGAAATACCGTCACATGCCACAACAAGGCCTGACCCACGCACTGCCAACTTAATCTTCACGTATCAAAAATACGTTAGAGTTACAAGGGCAATTACCTGACACGCATATTTTGTTAGCTCCCTGTTTAATACCTCTACAAACGTCCTGGGTTACACTTAGAAATGGGAGGAGGGAAATAATGAAGCAACGGTGGTATGGGTCTGTGCAACCGATGCTCCTCTTGGAGAACACAACCTAGCAGAAGTCCTGTCCCAGTCAAGGGACATCTCACCAGTGCTAAAGCTTTTCTGCAACATCAACAAAAGCAGAGTTCATTATTGAAAGCTCTAGTTCCGTGTTACAACACTTTTTTTTTTAAACCAGCTACTTTAGATGTGGTTGCTGGGATGTGAGAGAACACTTCTGGGAGGTATCAGTGCTATGATCACAAGCACAGGGAGATGAAATCCGTGTTGCTGTGGTTTCATGTGCTTAAAAGTTACGTAACAAAGGTGAACAAACCGAACGACGCCAGGACGTTTGCTCCATACGCGGCTGTCCTCAGCGGGATCCTGGTTCAAGTTCAACACATTTTTGGTGTTGAACAACTACGTTAACCTAAGTTCTGTAATTCTAGTTCTGCACAAATAATTCCATCTCACTGACATGCCAAAACATAACCAACTATTCAGAGGTCAAGATAATGTTTCTTGGGAATAGCTCACCAGATGGAAGCCACAACAATAGCTTTTGTTATGAGAGAATAACAAGATGAGGGATCTGCTTATAAGCACTCATCAGGCAGTGACACTTGCGTTCTCCTACTAACAGCTGCAGAAGGGAAAACACTTGAATTCGGGCCAGTTTCAAGTCAAGTCGAAGATGTTGCCTCTTGCAGATAAAAACCTTAGCTTTGGAAGAACTGCAGAAGGCAACACTTTAGCCTGCAATCACCCTCAGAAACTATTTTTAATTTGATCTTGTTTACAGGAACTGAGCTGCATTAACAAAATGTTTCAGTGTGTCTGGCCTCACGTACTGCTACTCTCTTAAAATGAGGCTGCCAGTAAGCTTCAGTGCTGGCCTGGAGCAAATGGTTATACCGGCAAAAGTCCTGGGATTTCTGGCGCTTTATCTCATTTTTGCTGCCAAATGAATAACCTCTTAATGGGCTTTTCCACGTGCTGGAGGATAAAGCAGAACAACAGCCATTGGGCTGCTTATGTCAACGCTCCAAGTTCTGAGGAATCCGTGCTGTTTGTAACCAGTCAATTTACTGAGTATGTTAAAGCTAGCGAAAGGTTATAGAGGCACTTTATCACCACAAGCATGAGGCCCAGTGCTCAGAATGTACTCCTAAGAAGTTGGCCAGAGATTTTTATCAAGTAATTAGACATTCACTTCTATGTTATAACTGACACTTCCATAATGTCGTTTCCTAAGGGAACCCAAACACTTCAGAATCTTTTTTTCTTCTAATTTTCTATTAATTTCTATTCTAAAGAAAATACTTCTATTTTCTTTCTAATTTTCTGTTAGTGGTGTAACAATAAAGCAAGTAGAACAGAAGTACTCGTTTACATGGGCAACTTTTGAAGTTGTACTTTTGGGACTGAACCATGCAGACATTTATTTAGCTGAGGATACTTTTCTTGATGAAAGCAATCTGTGCATACGCTATGTCAGAAAAAGACACTTAATCCTGGAAAAAGTGTGCATAAATAGATCTGTGCTAGTGAATGTATTATGTGAAACCTATACCTACCGAGCCACTGAAATGGAGCAGAAGGAAACCGAGGCTCTGGGCATGCATGTTATTTTAAAACTCTTTTTTAAAATTAAGTATCCCTTACAGGAAAGGCATTGGACAGCAATAGACCATCTCTATCTCACGTTCTCCTTCTTTACAGAAGCAGAGAAGTGACCAATGTTTAAAACAATTAAAACTAATCTAGGAAACAGCTGCATGTAAGGACACTTCCCTTCATAGCTCTGTGAGCAAACATGTGCTGAAGAGACAATTCTTGAGCAAAGGCTGCTAATGGCACTTGGTTGTACTAGAAAGACTTGAAGCCTGTTTAGAAATAAACCACATTTCAAAACAAGAGTGTCACATCTGCAAGGGGTACAGCAGAAAACAGACTAGCGTCGCATTCTAATCACGTGCTAGATGCTGCCTATTTGGGGTATCAAAATCTCTCCTAAAAACTGAAGAGAGCCTGAGCAGAAAATTTTTTAGTCATATACTTAATCATTTTTTATAATTCTTAAAGGCTGCCACACACGTAGCCTTTCTGTTTATTCACATGCAAAGTGCTACAAAGACATTTCTTTTAAACTGAAGAAGAGAATGCTTTGGTTTAGCGTTCGGTGCGGAACCACCATTGCATGTCAATTTAGACGAGTCAAATGTGATTTTAATGTTTCCGTAGTCACTTAGATCTCTGTGCAGTTGTCACTTAACCAGATGTTACTTTTCAGTTGAAGCAACTAAAATCTCATCTGGTTTGCACATGTTTTAGGTCTCATTTTTTTACAAATAAAGACTCCCAGAGATTAGCTGAGTGACCTAAATATTCCTTATTTACGCTTTAATTCTGGAATCCTTACAGTAGCTCTGACAACTAGGAACAGATACAAGCAAAGTGAGTACTGTGCAGTAACAGGCTTTCTTTTAGCAAACTCTTTTATCACTGATCTAGATTCTTTCACTTTTCAAAGTTTGCAGGTCGATTTTTGCGGGATTCCACCAGCTATACTGTGAGTAACAGTAATTGAAGTAAATGACTGTCATGCAATTTGTACTTCTCTGCACAATTATTTTGCCATTATAGTCTTACTGAGCTAATTCTAGCAATCCTGCGGGTTTACGGTGAGAGCTACTAATCCTTGGACTACTAAAATCTAGAACAAATAGTTACAGATTCTCCAAAAGCGGAAATTCATCATATTCTGTAGATTAAATTTTTTAATGCACAATCGTACCGATTCAAGTGACACAAGAAAACAAATCAAATGCAAACACATGCAGCCTTGTGTAGAACAGTAGTGGAAAGGCAAATTCTGTTGAAGAACTCTATAAATACTGGATGAAAAAGAACATGACTGAAGATGCAAATGAGATTTTGTTCTTACACGGTATCCAAAGGAGCAGGATCTACATCTGATAGAGATACTCCTTCTTGTTCCAACAACTTTAGCACTTCTCCTAAAACAGAACCGCAGATATAAAAAGTTATTTTGGGGATAAAGGAAAACAAAATGCACAGATAAGTACATAAGACTGCATCTGCAATCTTTACCAGGACATGATTTGCATTATTAAAATGTAATTATACAGCAATATCCATATACTACATCCTCTAACAGAGACAAAGGGTTATTAAAACTGGGCAACGCCTTGCTCTGAGGCTTACAGAAATTAGCTGGACTACCTCTGGCTCTGCTTACCTGTGGTGATTACACAGTCCACATCACGCGTTTGGTACTCTTGGTTGAAAAAGTCTGGCCTTGAAGCCTCTAGCTTTTTGTCATAACAGGGCATTACTGTCACATGGTATATCTGGTCAGGCGTTAAGTGCTGGAAGAAAGACAAAGCGGCGCAGTTGGATTGGCCAATATCAAACCTATCTTGAGAGAGATGTTTTCCAGGTAAAAATGAGAATGATGAAACTAATGCCACCATGCCTCTGGAAACACTCTCCACTATTACTGAACTTTTTTATATAGATATATATGTATGTACACACACACACACTTACATATACACTAAATTATTTCTCTCACAGAACCCGATTTTAGTTTGTAGCAAGTGTCAGCAGTATGGTCTTTTACAGGTTTCCCCCAGCTTCTTTTGCTAGTGCAGATGATCCAAACAAAGTCAGTCAGTGAAATCCTAATTGTGCAGTTAGAATATGCTTCCTCCACGCTACTGAAACCCCAGCCCCTGCATCAGCAACTAAGAAATGATCAGGCGTCAGACAAAAACCTCACGACCATCCAAGAAATAAGTACAGGCCAAGGAAACAAGTCATTGACTCAAGGCCATTGTTTCAGTATCTTGTGCCAAATATTCTTAGTAGCTGCCAAGTTTTCTAACAAGTATGCAGATGTCAGCATTTACTTAATGCAAGTGTTAAACCACTGCTCATTAATGGACAATAAATCATAAAATCAGAAGTGGTGCTTAAGTTTCTTACTGGACAAATCTAGGCTATAAGTACAACTCTAGTCTTTAAATATCAAATTTACATTTGGAAAGATTCCAAAGGTTAAAGACTGAGAACAGAACTAAGTCAAACTGAAACAGAACATTAAGTTGGGAACGAGCAAGTAATTTTTAGACAAGACATGATCTGCACGTATGCACTGACTGAAGTTTTGTCTCAGGATAATTTATTTTAAGTTATTCACCAACTTTAAACAACATGAAAATACCACACACAGACACGATGGGAGCAAAAGGACACTGAAAAATAAGTTTCTCTAGCCTTCCCAAATAACACACAGAGGTTTTAAGTAGTCCATGCAGCATGAGCTTAGTGCCACTGCCCTAGTTGCTAACTTCTCATTAGATAAAACCGAAGTGAGAAAGATGCTGCCTTTGCTGGCTTCTGCAAGATAATTTTTACCTTTAAACTCTAATGTATAACATGTAGCAAAATAAAAATATATCAGCTTAAAGTGTTCCATTTTAGCAGTTTGCCATTAAGCACAGTATACTTCAGACCCTTACCTGCTGTTCTGCAAAATGGTCCTTGACCAAGGAGCCCATGACCTGCTGGGGAGACTTGGTGGTACTGATATAAGGAATGATGAAACTGCCGTGGGTTTTCTCTGCATAGCAGATCCAACCTATAAAAGTGTAATTAGCAAATTAAATTAAAAATAACAAGCACCCCTTCACCCTGCTCACCCTCCCCCCCAACCCCAGGCTTAGTACCCATTAACAACCATTTTCAGCCTCACTTCAGCACAAAAAGCGAAGGAAGTGTAACACAGGATTCATTTTAGAGAGCTCATTAGGTAATTTTACAGCTCATTACTGCTATTAACACCAAGATCTCTTTGTATTGTGAAGAGAGTAATCCTCTAAGTAAATTTATCCATTTAAACTTTTCTGACTAGCTTTCTGAATTTTTGTTCTAGTGTACTCAGTATGCCATTTTATTATTTCCATAACTAATCTAATACCATACCTGGACAGGCAGAAGCTAGCATTGGCAAAGCCTTTTTGTCTTCAGATTGCTTTCGAAAGCGTTTTACAAACTCTTGTTGGCTCTCCAATAGGCTGAAGTTTCTTGAGAAAGTTGTATCAAATACATAGTGCACACCTAGGCAGTACAGCATCTGTGTTAAAATTCACAAGAAAGATGCGGCAAACTACAACAAAAAGCCTCCACTCAAACCAGACTGAAACTTATTTAGGTCTTATTTACAGGTATCAATCTCTGCAGTTGAGAGTGAACCTTTTTCCCTAGCACGTCAGCACAATTAAGATGAGCAAAAGTGACAGGAGGACTGCAAATCATTTAAAGTTCCTTCCTTCCATCACTCCAAGTTTATTTTGCGACTGAAGTTGTAGACAGTTTGCATTTTACCTAATGCCAGTTACGAAACATTATGAGTCTGCGGGGAGGTTAAATCACATCAACCTTGTGCGCTCATAACAGTTATGCTTAACATACACCCCAGCAGTCCCCTCTGTGACTAACAGAACGCAATACCACACTTGCCTAAACTCTTTAAGAATGAGGTCAACTTCTTCGCTGTTTCCAGAACATCCATTTTACATCTTGCAGCTAGTGAAGCTCTGGATTGTGGCGAAACAGAAACCACCACCAATTTCTGTTCATTGGGAGCCGCAGTCTTTGAAAAAACCAAACAAACACCACTGTTCAGACAGTATTAATACGGCACATGCATTACTTTCAGCACGCTAGAACATCAGAAAGTATCTCTCAGCTTAACTCTGAAGTCAGTAACTTACTACGTTAAAGGTCCTTTCCAAATCCATTACTTTTTAAAAATCGGAAAAAACACAACAGTGCACGGAGAATGTCCTCAGATCCTTCAGATCACCGAAACTAGTTTTTATGTGCACTGTTTCCACGCACGCTTCTGCAGATGCATCATACCAATCTATTAAGTCTTTCAAACTCTGCAGCCTACCTAGCCATGACTTGTCACCTACCTTGTTAAAAGTTAGCATTTTGCAGAGCTCTTCGTGGCTCTGTTGAGTGATTAAAACACTCTCTGCTGATGTAATGCAGCCACTACACGCTAAACAGTCATTCAGAGTAATTTTAGCCTTTTCCAGTTTTTGTGCTCCTCCATCCTAGAAAGAAACAGATTAGACTCAGTTCTGATCACAGTGTAGAATTAGGTAGCAGTTTTCCCACCTTTACTATATTTAGTAACAAAGATGTTGCCCTTTTTATGCTCTTGGTTTATCGTCAAAAGAAAGTATCTTTTATTTTTAGTAAGATGAGGAGGAAGACAAGTATCTTTGAAGTTTGCTGTTTTTAAAAGGATTATTTGGCACACAGATGCAAATATGCTGAGGAACTTCGGGAAAATTTTAGCAAGACCAAGAACATTCATCAAACACAGAACAGCTGTTTAGGCCCCAATTACTTGTGCTATCTCATGGGCCGATATTGCTCCAAAACATGGAAATTATACTTTCCCAGAAAGAAATAGGGTCTGTGTTGCTTGTTTTTTCAACTTGGGGGTGGCTGAAGACTGGGTTAGCATGGCTAACATGCTACAGATTGCAGCTGCTCTTTCAACCACAAAACTGTAGACCACAGGGATCCCAAGCCTTTAAGCACCAGTGTCCAGTGTGCACTGAATATTATGCTGGCGAAAGCACGCCAGCTTTGTCACCCCTGTCAGATGCTGCTGGTGTTATTGAATAGTACTGGACTGTTTCCTCACAGGAACCTGAATTTCACTCCTTCTAAACAGACTGTGTAACCAGACTACAAGCTCGCTAGCATTTTTAATTGATACTGAGTGTTCTGCAATCTTTCTGTGTGCAAAACTTACATGGACACTGATGGGAGAACTGTATGGCAGCATATCAAAGTCAGTGTGTGGCTTGCCACTGGAAGGAAGTATTTTTCATAATATTTGACCTGAATAAGTCAGTTTTCCCACGAGACTCTCCTCTTAAACTTCACTTCTCAATAAAGTCAGAAACAGACCGAGCAATTAGGTACTACTAAATTAAAATTTTAAAATAAGAAACCAGACTTCTTTGGAAGTGCTGTATCCCCCTTTTTTAAGTCAAAAGGTCATCATCTGCTTAAAGTGAAAAGTACCGTTTCTAGATGAATTCCCAGCTTGGTTAACTAAGAAATGCTAACCTTTTCTGTGTAAAGAGGAAAATAATTCTCCGAAACTGGGCATTAATTTTGTAAGCAGGAGGCTTATGAATGCTGCAGGCTATTTAAGAAATAATTTGAAATATTATTAAAAAAATCAGAGCAAAATTTAAGAGTATCTATTTGAAACTCTTTACGAGTGACCTCTCCTGCTGTATGACATAATGCAATAAAAAAAGAAATTGTCTCAAATAATCTACGAATTGCTAATACTTAAGTACTGAGGGCAAAACAGACTTCTCAGCTTATCTGCTCTTATACTGAAAATCATCACTAATTAATGTCAGTGTTTCAGAGCATAAAAGATTGACACAAAATCAGAATTACTGCTTATAAAACCAGATAAGTAAAAACTTGGACTTTGGAAAAAAGATACGAGAATGCTGACAGCAATAGTGACACTTTTCTAACATCTTGGTCCGCTCTGAGGCATTAAATAGCTGTGGACTATTCAAACACTTAACAATACACCCACGTTTTCTGGATATTTTACACAATAATGAAGAAAAATCACACATACCTGATTGATCTGAAAATAGCTTCCATCTGCTTCAATTCTGATCTTAGCTGCTGCTTTTCCGGGCTTTTTTTCCACTTTTACAGGTTTGATACATTCCTGAAAGAGAAATAAAGCCCGAAAGTGAGGAGATGAGGTAGATTTAATAGAAACTAGAATGATCAAACCCAAACACTAGTTCTAGAGTGAGTGCCGCTTACTCTCCCTTAAGCTATGCTGGATTTACTTACAGCGTCTATAACCACCAAGGGAAAACGTAAAAGCACGAACTGCTTACCCCTTTTTTACAGAAGGAACACTTTTCCAGCATCATACCAAAAACAGAGGACAATTTTGCTGTTCTTTCTGAAGAACACAGCCGTGTTTTATGGCGCCTTGAAAAGCACAGAGGCTTGCCTGCACAGCCCTCCTCTCTAAAATCTTACAGATGATCGTGCATTCTTCATTGCAAATTTTAACCGATGGAGGCGTGGTCACTACAGTCAACATGTGGCTAGTGCCAATGAAGTTTCATTTAATGTCGAAAGGACTCTGACGACCTCAGATGGACTGCTTCCAGTTTTCTGTATTGTTCTGTGATGAAGTCTCAAGGGTGTTTTTGCATTTTGTGCCATTTTTATTGTTTAGGCACCTTATGACTCCTTGTCCTACTTCTACAGCTATTTTTCTCTTCGCCTTTTGCCACCCTTGCTCTGCCAACATTTTCCGTCCCCCCCCTCCCCAAATTAATCCAGCTTTACTACATTTTGCAAGATTCGGAGACTAGCAGAACAAGTCATTACGATTTTTCAGTTATGCTCACTGAATAAAACAACCATCTCTACTTCAAACAGAAAAGCGCGTCGCGTTATTTACATGAAAGACTTCACTAGGCAACCCAAGTACTGCAAGGAGAGCTAAGGGGGTTTGCTATGCCCCATTCCACTGCTCTCATTTCAGGATAGCTTTTCTGCTGTACTTGTCAGCAAATATGTCCAGGATTACTGTTTTGTACTTTTGCTAGTGCTTGAAGACTCCAAAAGGAGTAGTCTTGACCCGTCCTTGCTGCTCACTCCCACCTCTCTGCCACCCGCTCCTGTACACTGGCATGAGCGTCTGTGCGGTTGAGTAGTGTGCAAGGAAACTTGTTTAGGCTTAAGCTTTTTTTTTGGGGGGGGATGTAGGTTAACACTTAATAGGGCAGTTTCCAGATTGGGGTGGGAATGACCGACTGGCTGCTGGGCCAAGATTTCTCTCTTTAGCTGCTTGCAGAGGCTTGCACCGATCAGCGTTGCTGCCCTCTCTGCTCCCTGCGCACTGCCTGGAGGAGACACCGAGGGATCTCCGTGTTTTTTGCCTTCCACCTTTTTATTTAACAGCACCCGAAGGACGTCCGAAAGGCAGCCGGCCTCGGCCCCTTTGCCCCCGTGCGCGCTGGGGCGCCTCCCTCACGCTGCCAGGCCGAGGGGCCCTGCCCAAGCCGAGAGCTGTCTTCCACCTCCCCTCGGCGCCATCTTCTCACCCTCCC